TTCTTGTCTAGGATTGGTCAACTCGGTGGTGTCTCGGCCCTCGTTCCTCTCTCTAGGGGCACGGACGCTAGGCCCCCAAAGGGTGCTACAGCTGAACGCTTTATAATCAACAAGCCAATACAACTCGTGTTTCATGAAGCTCTCTCTTCCACCTAGGTTACTGCTCTGTTTACAATTAGTGTTCTGAATCTTGTTAGGCTTATCTTGACAGCATACATCATTATTTCAACTGCCACCTCCCTTTTTCTATACCCATTTCGGTCTGTGCAGTCAATATAATGGACAGTTTGTTTCTATTTGCAACAACTCACCGACACGTAAATGATCACCTGACAGCTGTTTGGCCATGGAGAAAGTTACGGAAATACATGTAGTGGCGGGAGTTGGTTGATTCGACCTTGACTCTGAATTTGTCGAACAAGACAGCCAATGAACTTGAGGTTCTCCAAAGGAAACCCGGGGATAACTTGTTGGATTTAAGGACACAAACCTGCAGAACCAGTACTTGACTAACAGCTAAAATGGTTACTACCCTGTCGGAACAAAATGTTTGAAAATTTCTGACTGTAGCAAATACACGAAGAAGTTTTTTCAGAAGCGTTTCGCTGAATGCTGTGGTCTGGTTGAGAAATCACATTGCTCGGCCGATTTGATGTGGAAAGAATGTACCGGTGTCAACTACACAGAAAGGGGGAGTAAGAAGCCTCATGATACACGTGATCCTCCTGGATTTTGCTACACTTTATTGATGCAATTCACCACGTAGTTTCTAGTGTCGAATTCGATTATTAGCGAACTGCAAACGAAAGCTTTTTACGTCTGGCATCACAGGGGTCAATATTTGCCAAATATTCTCAGTTTCAAATTAGATTGCTGTTAACGACAGACTCAGATGAATCACCCACTGGATGTGGTGCCTGAAGTTCACCTCACGTTTCAGTTAGCATGGTAAATGGGATATCACCATATATTCTCACGATAGGATACACTACTTATAACGTTCTTGAATGCCTTTCGACTGCCCACTACTGCTTTCGTTCTTACAGGGGCTAACCTGGCAAACACAATAAGGTTTCAGCATTCAAGCAATGTGTTACATCAATAAACTACACTGTGATGTCTTGAATACTTTGTCAAAGGAGGTATGAGACGGGTTTTTTGAGACACATTCAGTGGATGATTACCATAAACGAGAGATTCCTCGAGTCCCTCTATGACATCAGTGTAATTTATGAGTGCATTCGGTTTGATTTTCAAATGGAACACATGCCTGATAGAAACGCTACCTGATGATCCCCTAGGATGACGAAAGCAGTGGTGAACTGTTGATGAATTTCTGGAATCCGTACGACCAGCGCGTTGTGCCAAGCTCTCAGTATGATTCTAGGCCAAAATTCGTTGGCTAGCGAATTATTTCGACACACTGAATTCAAAACCTTTAATCGGCGACCCTATACACCGGTGGATTTCTCCTAAAGTGATAACAAAGACAAGTCCTTGAGGAGCAAAAGTCCAAACGTGTGAGGAAGCCTCGTCAAGGGGAATTTTATCACCTTTAAAAAAATGATACAAAAAACTATCTCATGCTTAAAGTGACTCCTCAAAGTGAGCACGCTCTCCATTACATCACTTATCTGAAAGAGCAAATGTTTTACAACTGTGTCCAAAGCGAGTGCGTCAGTGGACCTCTTATGCAATCGGTCAATGTTTAGGGCTGATTACTAGCTCCTGGATCTGTATTACCTGACGTAACACTGCCCATTTTGAATCAGCAATCAGACATTTTATCACGATGTGCCGGCGTATGGTACTTTCTGTCACACTTGGATGCGAAAGGTCGTGGGAAGTGTTTACTCAAATCATCCGGACTATCAGATTCCGCACATGTGAAGCGTTTCTCGCTAGTTGTCGAATTATCCCGTTTCTCATTCCAGAAGCCGTTGTCAGGATGGCAGGTCGCTAATTTGGCTCACCTTATAAGACCTCGTATAAACTGTGCAGTTTGTCGGTCATCAGTCTATTGAATGCAGTGTTCGGGGGACCATTCAGCTGTAACACCCTATCGGTGCCTAGCTACCATGCCACCCGAAGAAAGGGCTGAGGTGCTGTCCGGTTGCTTAAAGCTAGACAGAAACAGTGGAGATGCCAAGGTTAATTTCGAGCCGCTGACTTTCGGTTGAGCAGGCTTGCGTCTTGCCTGACTGCTTAAAGTAACCCTCAGTAGACATCATTTGATAGTGAATCTCTATAAGACAATTTTCGAACATTTTACCCCGTCGTTTATCCGCGCTCAACCCAAACGTTGTACGTCCTACTCTCTTACTTAGGTCAAGCCCCATGCACTGAACAGTTAGCGTTATTCCGCTTAACGCTGAACAATACTGACATCCACGCTTGTTCATCCTGTGAATGAGTTACATGCCAAAATGAGTTATTTAGATCCAGAAACAGAATACCCCCCCCCCCCAATTTTCGAACACCGCAGTGAGATGCCGTCATTCTGAACAGACGAATGCCCAGACTCACATAAGGAATCCAGAGATCATTTCAGTCACTTGACTGCTCTCACTACGTTGTTCCAAAAAAACTGGGATAGGCACACATACACGTACACCAAAATCCAGAACAAGAATGAGTGAATTTACATTCACTAAGAACTTTGGCTTCTCCCGAAGTTCTCTGAGCCCCTTTTGGTTCGGTATAGATTATTGTATACTTCGCTTTAAAAACAACACCATACTGATGCATTACAAAATCGATGCCGCTCCTCTAATGCTACGAGGTTGGACTTATATGCGATTTTGTACTACAGTTCAATGAGCACTTTTTTCCTGATTAGTACAGGAGGCTGTTCACCACAGAAGAGAAACACTATGCCGTTGCACTGTAAGTAGTTTGCATGATAGTTGTCAGAGCCTTCTATCGAGTCAGATGAGTTACCTATATGTCAATAAAACAGGATAAAGATTGGAACATAATAAAAACAATCGAGCGTATCTTTCGGACACAATGTTTTTCTGTTATTCGTGGTCAAATCTAACCGTTGGTGACCAGTTTCGATACACTTGGTTTGGAAGACGTTCCGTAACACCAACAGTTTTGACTGACTGTGATCGGACATGCGGACATGGTTTGATTTTGCTGAGAGGCGTTTAGAAGAGTTCTAGCTTGAGTTCGATCGCCACACATCCGATCAACACACAAACAGAACGCGCCAGTTAAGGCAGTAAACGATCAGGCAGGGTACGACCATTCAAGCCTTTGAAATGAAAGTAACTGCGTTGGGAAAGAGTTCCTCTGACTGAAAAAATACTACCACTCCTGAAACGACTGACACTATAGGCAAATGAACTTCCAGAATCGCAGTTTTCAGTGTGAGTTGGACAACAGAGCTAGTATTACCGACCGATAAATCGTATCCAGTTTTCAAAAGTCCATCGTGATGATATGTTTAGAATGAGGGCCTATTAGCCATTAGGAAAATCGTCACCCACCTTCCGTTTCTCTAACAAGGTTCACGATAGTAAAGACTGCTCCGGAGGTGACGTCTAGTGTTAAAAAATCTGTCCCTTCGAACAACTAATCAGGGAAGTGAAACTTTTTCTAACGATCATTGAATTCATGAAGACTGACGGATTGAAGTTGTTGCGTTCTACCCTATTTCAGACTAAAACAAGGCATTCTGCCTTATCTTTGGGGTGTGAGGTGAACCACTTGCGATTGGACAGTCCACTTTCTATCGTGGCGCAGTTTCTTGGTTAGTTAGCATACTGGGCGCACCTTACTTATCACGAATTTGACAAATTAGCTTTGAAACACTGCTCAATATGGCGGTGAACAACCCTTTCCCAACCCAAATCACAACAACAAAAAACCTGACATCCAATTTGTCTTACCGAGTGATGCACGAGACAGGTGTGTTTACAAAACGGATGTTCCCTATCCGAGAGGAGCTGTGCCATGCCAAGTTGCTGTGAAACAAGACAACACAGGTGTACCAGAAGAGCGGATAGTTTATTTTCTCTTGATCAATATAACGAGAGGCACAGTATAACCAACCAGATGCGGGTTGGAAGGAATCCTTCCTTCAAGGACACAATGTTTAGTCAATAGAAGACTTAAATGTCTTCGGATCTTTGTTTATCTGCATAGGAAAGGTGTGAATGTGTACTCTATAGTGGTCGCATACGTAAGCATGCGCAGCGGAATGAAAGAGGCGGTTGTTCTCTAAAGGTGACAAGGGCTGGATCAGTAGAATGAAAGCACGTTCCTAAGCTGAAACGCTTGTAGAATTGTGAGAAAACAAACCTTTCCCAAAACAGACGGATAGACAAACAATCAGAGTAGAAACGAAAAAGTAGAATGGACTAAAGTGTAGACAGGCTAGTGGGAAAAAGGCAAAATGAAGGAACAGGAAGCAGTTTCAGGGGGAATCGTACAGTGGATGCAACATACAATGATAGACTAGAATGACGAAAAAATGAGAGCGACTAACAAGTTGACTGCGATGACACAGGTTGAAAAAATGGTCTAAAAAGCGACATAGAAAAATCTTAGTTTTCCACAAGTTTTATCTGGCTGTTTGTTCCAAAAAGCCTTCAACTATAGAGCAAATCGTAACAAAAACATGATGAGAGCAGAGATACCACAAGCCATTGGCACGGTTACCACCCAGGCGATTATAATGTTACGGAAGATCCGCCAGTCCACATTGTCCCGGGATCGAAAGCGTCCGACGGCAATGACCGAACCAACTTGACAGTGCGTAGTGGATACCGGTAGACCGAATTTGCTAGCAAGTAGCACAGTCAGTGCTGAACCCAGTTCGATGCACCCCCCCATTTAGTGGACGAAA